TATATATATATATATATATATATATATATATATATATATATATATATATATATATAAATGTTTAGTGTGGCAATTAGAGCGACACTTATATTTTTAGTATATCAATTAAGTAATATTAAAAGTGAAATACTGCGCACGAATACAACTGAAATATTTATCCTACTATTAACTTATTTCTAAATCTCCGTCTCCTTGAGACACCGATGTTTGCGACACGCATTGGTGCGATCAGATTTGATATTTTCAAATTTGCGATTACATCGAAATATGAAAGAAAGAAGAGATCTTTCTTTCGTGCTGATTCAGTTTTGCGTCATGTTTAATCTCAAGTGGCACGTTTAGTACTATGAAAATGCTATGAAAATGCTATGAAAATGTGTCATGCAGCGCATATAGCAACTTGGCTTTATAGAAAATTTCTTTTGAATGCAGCTACTAGAAAATTTATCGCATGTTTGGTAAAACGTACAATACACGTTTCTACCGTGTTTCAATTTAGTCCACCTTTTCTCTCGCTCTCAAAAGGTGAAGGCGGAATTTCAAAGGTTTACATTATGTGTCAATTGCTTTGTTCATAGTTTTGTAACTCTACATCTTTCTGTATCTCTCTCTCTCTCTCTCTCTCTCTCTCTCTCTCTCTCTCTCTCTCTCTCTATGCGATATATTATTATAAATAATATTACATTTGTCCTGTGGTTATACACGCAAAAGGAGGGTAAAGCAACGTGGGATTTCCTGCTCTATTTCGTAAAGTATAAAAAGTCGATTCTGTTAAGTACAAGAGATAACGTGGGTGAAAAATTTGCCTCTGCACATTTCATCGAATAATAATATGCCCTTATACTTCGCATAACATATTATTATTATATTACTTAAAAAGGATGTGATATCCATACAGACGAAATCAGATTTTTGTTCAAAAGAGATGAAAAACGCGAAAAGTTGACATGTTACCGCACATGAATATAAGTTACAAATTATATAGCTCGTCGTAATATCTCGTCGCCTTCTATTATTCCTTATTATCGAAATTTACTGGTGGTAGGAATGCGGCCGGCTGCTGTGAGTCCCATTTGTACTGCCTATAGAAAGAAATAATTGATATCTGCATGGACGTCACGTCTTTTGTATTTAAACTGATTGAAATGAAGCCCTGTTTCAGTTAGCGTCCTTGGGATATTCGATGTCGTCCGCCGTTGTGTTCTGACGGCAGCGGTACTGATACGCGCCCGACTGCAGGACGTCGTGGTAGCGCACGCACTTGTAAGTGCTATCCGGGCACTCGCAGCTGCAAAGGTAATACACGCAATACGATAAAGAAAAAGATTGTTCAACTCGCGCGTACGTGCTTGTAATCAGGATTTTTCAGGCGAGCCGTAACAAAAAAGGAATTAAACATTTCAGTTGGAAGACGCGACGGTGAGGCTTACATGTACTTACTGATTTTTCATAACGTATTCGGAGATGCGCGTACGCGGATTATAGACCTCCCACGCACAAGGTAAATTGTAACAGTACCGCCTCTGGTCGTCCTCGTTTCCCTCCGTACTCCGTAGAACTCTCGTGTTTTTAGGTCCGTGCAAAACTACATTTTGTAGACGTTGACCAAAAATCTGTGCGGAGGAAGGAAATGTATTTAAATAATGAATCGTTTCTTTCTTTTTTTCGACACGGTTATTAAGTACGAATCGATCACTTGGACAAGTGGAACTAACGAATAATTCCATTTACGAAAAGATATGCGACAGACATTACATATAAATGCTGTTATTTTCTGAAGAAATTATTCGACTCGCGCAAGGATATGATCTACAAACACGCGAATACGGTTGGTTTCTTACACGTCAAGTGCAATAAAATATGGATACGTGTTATAGTACTCGTTGGAAACACGATCTATTCGGAAACACGTTCCATAATACGTGTCTCGGACACGAGAAAAGAGAGAGGAGAGCGAGAGTGACAAAAGAAGAGAGTACATTGCAGCAATTCACGACACGTAAGTAACTGCGAGGTTGCGTCTGCAATTAAGTTTGGTATGCGCGACGAAATTATCAGCGGTTATCTCGGCCCGGTAGACTCGATTCGTGAAAAGAGACTCAACTCATAATTCTTCATTTAAGCCGCGCGCCACCATATCGTGGCACTTGTTTGATAAGCCGGGTTGAAACGATCGATTCATCGAACGTGTATGTATATCTCGTGCACTCGTTCGTAAACTCGAAGGTTAAATCGATCATAACAACGTTAGTCGGCTCGATCGCCAAGCGATGGCGCGCATGTCTTTTGTTTCTAGAGGGTGGGGTCCAATTGACCACGGTACGATTGGACACAGATTGTAATGATTGGTTCGACCTGGTAATTCACTAGATAATTTTTTGCATCGGTTGGTTGTGTCCAATCATACCGTGGTCAATCGGGACGCTCCCGTTTCTAGAGACCCTTCAAGAGAGCTGGCTAACTAGCCCACAAAATGGCGGTCGCAAATATGTGAGCTTATAAGAAGTGTGTGGTCTATTTTTTCGCTGCACTGCTGCACTAGTGCAATAAGTAGAGTGAGACGAGTATATTTTTTCTCACTCTAACTTATTTTGGCGTTGCCATTTAGTGGGCACAAGTCACGTGCACCAATCACGCGGAGCCCCCTAATGGCCAGTCTCTACACTCAAGGGTCATGGACGTAGTATGCATGGACCTCGCATACAGCCAGGAAACTGAAGCCGACATGTAGAAAGAGACCATAGACATAATATACATAGATTCCGCATACAGTCAGAAAAGAGAAGCCAATATGTACAGCCCCTCTGTTCTCTGTCTCTTTCTGCATAAACAAAGTGTGCAATAAGATTTAAGTAAGACTTTTACTTGCCAGTCTAGTCGGGGTGCTGTTGCGCTCTATATTATTATGGAAACGAGAAATGGATGCAACTAAAAAGTGACAAAATAGGAAGAAAACTATAGTCCATCTATTCTTGCTCTCTTTCTAGATGTTGGCTTCACTCTATTAGACGACAGAACATAGGACACTCGGAGTCCATGTATACTATGTCCATGTCAAGGGTCTCTATTGTTTCTAAATAAGAAAGATGTCGTTGGATCACGCGCGCACGCGCACATCTTAACATATACGCGCGAGAAAAGAAGACGTCCCATCTTGTTATTCGTTCTATCCACTCTTCCGTAAAAACGCGAATCGCATGTTTAACGTTTACTTTCAGTTTGCTATCGCTAACCATCAGATATCACATGGAATCTTACCTCGGTCCTGACTACCATAGCCGTGTCGATCACAGTTGGATAGCACAACGTAACCACGATCATGACGACTACCACCATCCTTGTATCAGCGGCGCTGTAATTCGTCCTTGACATTCTCACTTGACTTCCTTTGGTCCTTCTGATTTCTTCACTCTTGCCTCTCTTTGCGCGATTCTTCGTAGATGTCGAGTACTTGATCTTTACTCGAGATCGCTTGGCACCTTGGCGAGCGCAAAGCGCGCGCGAGGCGCGCGCATATGCACGTCACAGACACTAGAAGTAGTGACGAGCGAATCTAAGCGCTTTGTCCGAAAGTACCGACGTATGTAACAACAAGGTTGTCAACGTCAAAGGCCGACGCACTCGGTGATAGTTGAAATATGTATTTGGATCGGGGTCGGGGATCAGAGACGCTGATCTCTTTTTTTCTTACTTGACGTCAATATATATTAGAATTCGAACGTATCCCGCGCGCGTGTGCTCGCTCTCTCCCTCCCTCCCTCTCTCTCTCTCTCTCTTTCTCTCTCTCTCTGTCTTTCTTTTTCTTTCCGAGTCGTACGCGTGCTGTATATATCACGAGATTTTACCTTTACATAGACTGCCTTCTTTGTATAGAGTGAACACGCTTTGGAGTCGCCGGGAGTTTATATAGGCTGGGCTAGCTGCTGTGCCAGAGTATCATTCGTTGAGAGAAGAGGGGAGAGAGATTTAGGCAGAGAAATAAGAAGACGAAGAAGATGGGAGAAGGGGAGGGAAGAGAGAGAGAGAGAGAGAGAGAGAGAGAGAGAGGGGGGAGGAAGGAAGGAAAATGCTTAGATATTACAATTGCGAATGTAACGAGACAACTTCAAATGCATGATTTTTCGTCGCTCGCATTCATCAATTTTTCGCACTTGACATATTTAATGAGATAGACGGAGCATGTGCACGCATTCAATGTGTTGATAAATCAATTTGTACTTACGCATCGCTATCGCTGTAGACTTAATGCACAAGTAATAACGCTCCAGATTGAATTGCCGATCGGAGCATCGCGGCGTCAATAGAAGCGTATAAATGGTGCGCCGTCTTTCGTTGTCTGATGTAACACCGCTTGGGAAACTGTCAGATAATACGTGACAAGACCTATAGGCTCAAAACGCGATCTACAGCAAACGTTACAGTAGCGAATTTCATAATTGTGTGAGAAGCTGTCGAAATAAGTTATTATTTAGATAAGCGCAACAGATAAATAATATTTCATCAGTCGCTACACAACGAAAATACAACACGCGTCTGTATGTGTAAATAGCGTCGATTTTTCCACTATGAAAGTTTGACGAAAGCTTGACAAGTCTGTTGTGATAACAAAATGAACATTTACAGCGAGTCAAGTTGTCACCAAGTTATCAAGTGATAATTGCTCAGCGTTGATGACGAATCCAATCCCTAGTTTTTTCTTTTTTTTTTTTGAAGTAAGGAAAGTAAACAGAGCAACGTGTGTCTCGTCGTTAACAATTTCTGCATCGCGTCACGTCACGTCACGTCACGTCATACACGTCACGTCACGTTACACATGTCACGTCACGTCACGTCGTGGCATCGCGCACATGCAAAGATGAGACGTGCGGTCGCGATCTACGCACTACGAGATCCAGGTCGAATTGTCGCGATCGTGTTGCATCTACCGATCGTGTGCGTATCGATTTAGAGCTGAAAAAGGAGTCGTCGTGGCTGTCGGTCATTTCAATCGCGATCATTCGATAACTCGATATATGTACATGAGTAGGGGAATACGTTGAGGCTCGACAGGGGCACGCCGACTTGTCGGCCAATTGCAGGACTTCGCGCCGTTGACGTCTCTTCATGACTTCGACCCATCGGCAATTTCTCTCGACCGCGGTCATAATGTGAATTTATAGCGCTCGCTGCGATCACACAAATTTACGCCGCGGCGAATCTAACGTAACAGAATTGTGAAAGTAAACGGAAGGAGAGAACTTGTTGAGCAAACTCTTCTCTCTATGGCGATCTCTCGACTATCTACGTACTTTTCTTGCACATTACGCATCGCCCAAGCTTCCTCCCCACGTTCACGATTAACGCTCGCATCTTTTCGGTCTAATTAATGTCGTATGGACGAAATATGTACGGAGAATAGTACAATGTCGGACGTTTTTATTTATATCCTTGTCACATTAACCCTAGATATACATACTGGGGTCTGCGAGACCCCAGGCAAAGTTTGAAACTCTAATATTAGTAGAGAGAATAAGTAAGGAGGATATGACCGCCATGTAAAAAAAATTTGAAGTCTCTTCTGTAAATTGCAACTGTTGGAGCAGTCAATTGTCTGTCGGTTTTGTAGTAATTTACACGTAAAGTAAGTTCGGGATCTCCTAGACCCCAGTGTGTACACCCCAGTGTGTGTACTTCGTGCAACTTTTTTTGCAAGTAAGTATATTTTATAATTAATTTTATTCGAGTTCATAATGTAAATATATATTCTAAAAAATGTTAGATTAAATAAGTAATGTAAAAAGAATGAATTTTTATTGGAAGACAGAAACACACGGACTAAACGCCCAAAATAATACTGCCTCGTTGAGTAAATGTGTTATTTGCCGCTTTTAAATTATTGATATTTTTCTTTTTCTGTCCCTGTTTCTATTACAAATTATTGAGTTTATATTTTTTAACATAAATCCTAACTCTTATACTTGTATGCAAAACCACTAGAAAATAGAAATATGAAAAATCGTCAATTTTGGAGCCTTGTAATTTTCATAATAATATTCCAATATTTAAGCGACCATTTTTTTCTTTGTATCTTGAAATATGTCCTTTGAAAATCTGAAAACTTTTTTCAATTATCTTTATTATCAAAAAAGATATGCATTTTTCAAGCTATTACGGTAAAATAACGTTTCCTTTGCATTTATGAATATTTCTAATGTTTCAACACGTCTTTATTATATGATGTTTTATTATGATTTAATCCTAATTTTTAATAAATATATGTGTTTATCAGTCTATTAACAATCGGGAAAAAATGTCAAAGTACGGTGATTTTTACCGGAGTTATAATAAAAAAAGTAGCTGGGGTTCTTCAGATCCCAGAATATAGCATCTACGTATGCGAAAAATAAGTGTGTATACCTAGGGTCAACAGAGATATTATTCTACAAACGTATCTCAATAAAGATATAAAGTCATTTGGGTAATGAGATGTTTTGTAATCTTTTGGTCAAATCTGCGAAATAAAGGGTCTCGATTGCGCAGTTATAGAGAGAAGAGTGAAACTTTCAGAAAACGCGTTTGGAACGAATCATTCCTCCGTCGCATGAAGTTCTTGTCGTAGGCTAGTCGTAGGATAGAGAGGGAGGGTACAGAGGCGTGTAGAGCCTATGACCTCCCGAGATCCGAATTACGTCATTTCGCTTCCGGGGAGGAACTGGAGACTGCGTAGTTTGTCAGAGCTGGTCTTTTCTTTTTTTGTATCTTTGGCGTCTCGTTGAGCATAAGCGTTGAACGTGAGAATACTTTTCGGAGACTCTAATCGGACCTATCGAAATGTACCTCTCGGACGATTTTAAAACTATGCGATATCTATGCACCGCGTTATGCATGCCCTCCGTGTCTTCTCAAGCTTCGATGTCTTCTAATTCTTCTTCTTAAGATTCTGATGTAACATCGGCGAGTAAATATTGATGATACAGAAAACAAACAACGTTCTTTTTCTTCTTCAAAAAGTTGGTCTTTTTTCTCACCGCTCTCTTTCTTTCTTTGACATGATGCAGAATCAGCCATGCAATTAGCCGCAAATCATCTCAGATAGAGACATTTCCTCGAAGGCACAATCGCGCGATGACCCCATGACGGTCGCGTTACAGATTACTCCTGCATTTTGAGATTACTCAATGAAAGAATGACCTAATGTTGTATCGTCATACCCTGTGTATAATATAGGCATCAATTGTATCCATACGGTTAGCGACTCGAGAAGATTTCTCTGTGTCGTTATGTCGTCGCGTGACATCAGCTATACGATGGATATACAGCGAAAGAGAATGAAACCAATTGTTTCTCTTTTATTTTCCTCCCGTCTTGCGGGAGATTCTTTTCCATTATTTCATTGATACGCTCATTTGACCGTTGGAGTGTTGCGTGGTGTTCCATGAGACAAATCGCTTCTTGGAAACGGCGTATGAGCCTCTTTGGAATCCCAATTTTATGATCGTTTAAATTCGACGTAATTACCCGTAGGATAATTTATCTACGCGTGATCAATGAGTTTCGTAGCAAGACATCGTTTGTTCAATTTATGTAATTTTAGGTATCATTTTAACTTATAAATTACTTTCCGATTATAAATTACCTTCCGATTAAGCGCAAATTGAGTATATAGAGTACATATAAAGAGAGAAATAATATTTTTTCTTAATCTCTCTCTCTCTCTCTCTCTCTCTCTCTCTCTCTCTCTCTCTCTTTCTCTCCATCGATTCTCTTGAGCGTTTGCGCGCGTAATAAGATACTTGTACAATATATTGCGAAACATTTCTTATTGCGTGTAATAATACGTACGTGAAATTGAGTGATTTGAGTTGTCGAGCGGAGTGTGCATTCACATCTTTTTGGCGTGAATACACCTCAGAGACTGATATATCACTCTACGTCGCAAGTGTGATATATTGTTTTCTTTTTACTAGTCGCACGAGTGCAGATAAGTCGATAAGATCGCTTACGTAAGACACCTACGCACGTGCGTTTTGTAGCGTGACAGAGTTTAGGCTAAAGGAGGCTAGGCTAGCTCAGGCCGAACCAGGCTGCACACAGAAAAATATGCTAAGAAAACCGACAATTTAAACTCAATTCATTTTCCATCTTTTAAGTAATCTTTAGTTATCGTCAACAAGGAACATTTTCTTGATAATAGTCTTAAAATATATTCAACGTAAATTTGACTAAAGCTCATTACATCATTGTGCACAAAAAAGGAATTAATTTTCTTTACCAGAGTATATTAGAAAGCTTTGTTGAAGGAAATATTGCTTCGACTCTATGTAACAAGCAAACTGAATTTCTCTTTTAATTTAACACATATATTTGATTGAAATGTTAAACTTGTTAGGAGATTCGGAAATGTACTTTGAATAAATTTAATGGCTTGCGAAGAAGCAGTGATGGATTCGCTGATATATAAATAAACATATGAGATGAGCAAGTTGAAACAAGTAACGAACGTTCGAACGCAATATATATTTTCCTGTGTGAACGAAGCGAGGCAAGACGAGAAGAAATGAGAAAACGCTGCAGCTTGTTCAGAAAAAGAAAAAAGAAACACACACAACGATGAAAAAGAATATACGAGATGAGCAGGTCAAGTAGGACCGGACTGGGTGACAATCTCGATGACGTGCGACTCGATCGCTTCTTATCGTCGAATGAGAAGAAATTCTCGGAGGGAGATGGCCGATCAAAGAGAGCTTCCTCGTGTCACGAGCGGTCTAGTCGGAGCTAGTCACGACCGGGTCAAGGAATCGGGTTAAAAGATACGTGCGACGTTACAGAGTCACTTTCAATCATCGATCGGTTTACGTAATCGCGAGCGCAATTACGCGCGCACTCGATCGACGAAAAAGTTGGTAG